AAATAATAGTAACCTAAAGATAAGAATAAGAAAGGATGGATCACATGTCAGAGAACAAAAAAGTGATAAAGATAATATAAATACTCCAGGAAGAATAAAGGTTATAGGAAGTAATCACAAAAAGTGTATCAAGTGAAAAAGTGTCAGGAAAACACCATCAGGGCAGGGCAGGGACACTTACCCAAATAAGTCTTCTATACACGAATACATGTAGGATAAGAAATAAGAAATGAAACAAGGAAGTTACAAGCACAAAATCAGCTTAAAGAGTATGATGCTGTTGCCATTACAGAGACCTGGCTACAAGCTGGGCAGCACTGGGAGCCAAATATTCCAGGCTACAAAATCTTTTGAAAGACCATGGAAATTTGGAAGGAGGAGTAGCAATATTGATAAAAGGCACAATTACAGCAGTGGAAAGAAAGGTTTTCAGTAAGGGTGATCAGGCCATGGAAGCACTATGAGCAGAATTAAGAAACAGCAAAGGACGGAAGACTGGTGGGAGTTGGCTACACACCTCTTGATAGTAGTGATGTAGTGGGGGCTATGTAAATATGTAAATATGGAGATCAGGGAAACATGTAGCAAAAGTCCTGTGGAGTCCTGTAGCTCAGTGGTTGGAGCACTCGCTTTGCAAGTGAGAGACCTGAGTTCAATTCCAGGCAGAGGGCGAAACCTTGGGCAAGTTTCCTTACTCCACACAGAGCCTAATAATAATCCCTCCAAAACCAAAAACAATAATAAATTGGTCATTTTCAATCTACGACTGTTTGTGGGACATTGCTGTGCGCAATTGGCTGCCGCGTTCGCCCACAAATATACAGTCAATTCACTTTACAGTGTGTTCTGTGAAGCGCTTTGGGACGTCCTCCCGACGTGAAAAGCGCTATATCAAATGCAAGGATTATTATTATTATTAAAAGCAATATGGTTATAATGGGAGATTTCACATAGATTTTGAGAAACAGAAAAGCTCAAGTATTCAAGGCAACCAATTTCTAGATTGCATTTGTGACAGTTTTCTGGAATAATATGTTTTATGTTAATATGCCATACAATGAAGACATTCAAAGTAATTCTCATCATTACCCTCTTCATTGAATTATACAGCACAGAAGGAGGCCATTCGACCCATCGTGTCTGTGCCGCTCTTTGAAAAGAGCTTCCAAATCAACCCCATTCCTCCCGCTCTCCCCATAGCCCTGATCAACCCCACTCCCCCACTCTCTCCCCATAGCCCTGATCAACCCCAATCCCTGCACTCTCCCCATAACCCTGATCAACCCACTCCCCTGCTCTCTCCCCATAACCCTGCAAACTTGTCCTCCACAAATAATTATCCATTTCTCTATAAAAAATTGTTACCGCTTCCACCAGCCTTTCAGGCAATACATTCCAGGTCCCAACAACTCTGTGAAAAAAATTCTCCTCACCTCCCCTCTGTCTTTTTTAACAACTATTTTAAATCGGTGTCCTCGGGTTACTGACACATCAGCCAGTAGAAATAGCTTCTCCTTATTTACCAATCGAATCCCCTCATCATTTTGGAAACTTCTATTAAGTCTCCTCTTAACCTTCTCTGCTGCAAGGAGAATTATCCTAGCTTCTCTAGCCTCTCCTGATGACTGAAGTCCCTCATTCCTGGTACCGTCCTAGTAAATCTCCTTTACACCCTGTCAAATGCCTTGACAATCTTCTGAAAGTGTGGGGCCCAAAATTGAACACAGTCTCTAGCTGAGGCCTAACCAATGTTTTATAAAGGTTCATCATAACTTCCAAAGGTTGTCAGCCACAACCCTTGTGGTTGTTTCATTTGGTTACGAGTAATGTTTACATAAATGTGTACTGAATATTCCTGCTTAATAACAGGGATAGCAAACTCTTTGACATCTAAACTTTCATTACTTTACTGTTATAACTGTGATAAACGCTGGTTCCCCATCCATTGGTGGTTGGTTCCCAGTCCCATTCAGCTTCTGTTAACACTGAAAGCCAAAGCTCTGATGGATAGTGTGGTCATAGTCAGACAAGAAGCGAAAATAACAAAATGACAATGCGGAGTAACATCTCGGAGCTCTTAACAGTGGCTCGAGCCGGTCTGGGGTGGGGAGGTAACAGTCGACACAGTTCACCAGGAAGGTCTTCAGGTGTGAACTGAAAACTAGGATTTTTTTTGTTGTTATTCAATGAAATTTTGTCCCATATGTTGTCAGGTTATGGTGTTACATGCACAGTTAGTTACTCAATGGAAATGTCACTCAGTATGACAAATTGTCAGTATTATGATATTGGTGTGAACTGAAAACTTTAAGAAGGAGGGATTGAATCAGAGTTCCAAATTTTCAGCATGTAGTGCAGGAAACCAATGGAGAAATTCACAAATGTAATCTTCTAAGTCATTGCTGACCTGGTTTCCATTGATGAATGATTTTGTAAGGAACACCTCAACTTCCTGGAAACTCCAAGATTTTGAATGAGTCACAGCATTTTTACGACATAAGAGCCAGTTGAGCAGCGAGACCCACCTCTGACTGTAAGTTGGGCTTAGCGTACAGTCAGAGGTGGGTAATGTGACGGAGGTGGAGGAAAGCAGTCCTGGTCAGGGACCGGATATGGGATACAAAGGGCAGCTGAGGATTGAACCTAATGCCGAGGTTACGCACAGGTTCAGTAAGTCTGAGGGATAGGCCAGGGAGGATGAGGAGTTCAGAGTCGCAGGAGAGAAGACGTTGTCTGGCACTGAGGAGTAGGACTTCCAATAAGTGGGGAAGACTGTCCAAGATAGCCATCAAGTCAGTTATTACAAAGACTCATTTATGTAAGTAAGCGAAGCAGACCGAAGACTAACAAATTATCATTCACTGTCACAGCCCATCCACCACCTGCCTGTCTGTAGGTCCCGAGCACTGAGCCATAATAAAGCTTGAAAATCCCTTGTTGTCTGCAAGATTATGGCTAAAAGTGACATCACCCTGATAGCAGCACTGCACTATCATGTGGATAACACACATGGTTTATGCGCCCAGACAGGAAATACCACAATGGTCATGACGTGTGATTGTGTGGGCTTTCTCAAATTACACTTTAAAATTTATGTTAGTTCGCTACAGGGTCCTCAGTAAATCAGCTTTGGGATCTATTATGAACCATTTGTAAACCATGTCTAACACATGGGTACAGTGCGAGATACAGATGCCCTTAATTCTTTTAAGTGCTGCCCACCTGAAAGGCGCTACACATATTGCAAATTGCTGCTATTGTAATGAACAACCCATAAAAGAATTTACAACTAAGCAATAAGCAATTAAATTTAAAAAAACCTAGCTTTGCAGGTATGAGGGAAGAATTAGCTAAAATAGACTGGGGAATTAGATTAATGGATATGACAATAGACCAACAGTGGCAAACGTTTAAAGAGGTAGTGCATAATTCTCAGTTATCCGTGGCTAACTAGAGCAGTTAGAGAAAGTATAAAACTAAAAGAAAAGGCCTATAAAACGGCCAAAAAGAGTAGCAAACCTGAGGACTGGGAGAGTTTTAGGGACCAACAAAGGAAAACCAAAAAGCTCATTAAGAGTAAGAAAATGGATTATGAGGGCAAGCTCGCTAGGAATATTAAGACAGATTGTAAGAGTTTTTATAAATACATTAAGAGCAATAGGCTAGCAAAAGTAAATGTGGGTCCATTATAGGCAGAGACAGAGGAATTATAATGGGGGATAAGGATATGGCAGAGTCCCTAAATAAATACTTTGCTTCTGTCTTCATGTTAGAAGACACAAGATGTTTACCAGAAATAGAGATAAACCAAGGGGCTAATGACAGGGAGCAACTTAGGGAAATTTACATTAGCAAAGAATTGGTGCTAGGGAAATTGTTGGCATTAAAAGTGACAAGTCCCCTGGACCTGATGGTTTGCATCCTAGGGTTTTAAAAGAGGTAACTCATGAGATAGTGGAGGCCTTGTGTCTGATCTTCCAAAACTCTTTGGATTCTGGAATGGTTCCCATTGATTGGAAGATCGCAAACGTCATATCACTATTTAAGAAGGGTGAGAGAGAAAAGATGGGGAACTATAGACAGTTAGTCTGACTTCAGTGGTAGGGAAAATTCTAGAATCCATAATTAACGATGTCGTACTGGAATACTCAGAGGATCACAATATGATTAGACAGAGTCAACATGGCTTTACAAAACAGAAGTCATGCTTAACAAATCTTTTACATTTTTTTGAAGACATATTAAGTAGTCAGATAGGGGGGAATCAGTGGATGTAGTGTATTTAGATTTCCAAAAGGCATTCGAGAAGCTGCGCATAAAAAGTTGATCCACAAGATTAGGGCCGATGGAATTAAGGGGAATACATTAGCATGGATTGAAGAATGGCTAACGGGAAGAAAACAAAGAGTAGGGATAAACGGGTCCTTCTCAGATTGGCGGGATGTAACTAGTCGAGTGCTTGGGCCTCAACTATTTACAATCTACATCAACGATCTAGATGAGGACATCGAACTTAATATATCCAAATTCGCGGATGACACTAAACTAGGAGGGAGAGTAAACACTGAGGATGACATTACAAAAATGGAACGAGATATAGATAGGCCAGGGGAGTGGGCAAATAGGTGGCAGATTAAATATACGTGCGATCGAGTTTGAGGTAATGGGCCATTGACACAATTAATCCCTTACAGTTAGTATCGCCTGATTTAGACAGCAGTTTCAATCTGGTTTAAGTTAGTATAATACTAGTCCTCCTGATGTTCCTGACGTGATATGTTTCATTGGCAAATTCCCAGCAAAGCTGTGGTAAGACTTTGGAGCTGAAAAAAAAGGGTTTTGTAACAGTAATAAACCTGAGAGAATCGCGTGAAACCACAAGAATGGACAAATGTGACCTTAAGTCATTGCTGACCTGGTTTCCGTTGACGAATGATGTTGTAAGGAACACCTCAACTTCCTGGGAAACTCCAAGATTTGGAATGACTCACAGCCTTTTCAGGATATAAAGCGGCAGTTGAGCGGTGAGGAGTCAGAAACAAACTGCAGCCGCACAGCACAGCACAGGGCAGAGACACAGCAAACACCACGTACAGCAAAGATGGACAGCAAACTGACCGTCACCGTCCTCGCTCTCCTCGCACTATATGTGGCTTCTACACGAGGTAAGAAATCATCTGCCGGAATGTACGGTGTTTAATTATAATGTACCACCAGCCCTCAGGATTCCAGTGTGAGGGACACTGACTCCAACAGAGAGATGTGATGGGACTTTGATTCCCAAACCTGTAAATCTGTATGAGAATGAGAACCTTTTGATGGCATTTTACTCTGAAGCCTAAACCTCTGCACTGGGTTTATTTCACAGCTGCATCTATCGGAAGCGCGGGAGGAAGTCTGCGTTGTCAGTGCGTTAAAACAATGTCTGAGTTCATCAATCCGAAGTTCATGAAGAACATTGAGATTGTTCCAAGTGGTCCTCACTGCAGCAATGCAGAGATCATGTAAGTGTCATTAATGTGGAGCATTAATACCGTCCCGTTTCTTTCAGTCGCGATATTTTTAAACAGTTTCAGCAGAGATTTGAGGCTGACCATTTGACACGTCTTGTTCTTCTCTTGCAGTGTCACTCTGAAAAGCACAAACCGAGTCTGTCTGGACCCACAAGCTCCCTGGGTGAAAAGGATCATTAACAGGGTGATGAATGGGTAAGTGCCCATTCCTGTGTCAGGGTGGGATCAGGGAAAGGGAACCAGTTCACCTCTGTACCAAGTGACAGCCACAAATGCTCCTGAGTCAAGTGAAGCATCAGACAATGACATAAAGAGCTTCTCCACATGCAGTTTCACCCACAAAATACACAGTCAATCAGTCAATTCACTTTACCTTATATTCTGTGACACACTTTGAGAAGTCTCAAAGACGTGATTAGGAGCTATATCAAATTCAAGCATTATTATTATTATCTGAAAAGTCACAGACTCAACATATTTAACCTCCTTTCTGAAGTACCTGCTTTCTTAAAAACGACTTTATGTGTATTAGAATTGGTAACTCATGAATTGTTTCATCTTTCTGCAGTGCCAATGCTGAAGGTCACTAAGAATGTCTAAGGATGGAGAGAGAGCCTGAAAGCCTCTTGTCACAGTCTCGTTACTACCTCAGCTGTCTTCGTGTTCAGACTTCTTCTCAGCAGGCAGCAAATGTTAACCTGGTTTAAAGCAGTCTTCACTGAAGTTTATATCCATTGCATGTATGTTCTTACTGAACAATGTAATTATCTTGAAATGTGTTTATTTTCTCAACTGAGACTAAACTGTGGCCAGCACTTAGGACTGAGAGCAACCGAGGGACTGGATGCAAAGTAATAAGCCAACAGCTGGATCTGTGATCCTGCTGTTTGCTAGGATTTTTGTTGTTGTTATTCAATGAGATTTTGTCCCATATGTTGTCAGGTTATGGTGTGACATGCACAGTTAGTTACTCAGTGGAAATGTCACTCAGTATGACAAATTGTCAGTATTATGATATTGGTTCGGTCTTTTGATTTATTTGGGCTTTTATTTGCTTCGGTATTTATATTATGTATTTATTCCCTTACATTGAGAGTGCTAAAATGTCTACAGAAAATAATTTGTTGAAAACTAATTTATGTTTCAAAGTAATTTATTAAGACAATAAATGGATTAATTACTATTTATTTATAGTATTTCAAATTTGATATAACTGTCTGTTATATTTGTTACATCTTGTTTAAAAGGAACATTGCAGATTAAAAGTTATTCATCAAATAATCCCTGCACTTGATTTCTATTTGTACATTGATTGCATTTGACTTTTCACAATGAACCATCATAGCTCATTCCTCTAACCCTGGAGATGATCTTTGATCTTTGATCATCTCCTCTCAATAACCTGTGAGGCCTGAGCGTGCAGCTGCAGCCTGTCCAGACCACTTGTCAGCTTGAGCTGCTTTTTCCCTCTCACCAACCAGGTAAATCGATATTAGATGTGGAGAGTACAGGAACAAGAAGCTGAGAAACAGAAAGAGCCTGATAGCTTCAACGTCAATTTCATGTTTGCATTCAAAGTACCCGAAGGGAGAGAGGTCCATGTTTACCTCCAGCACTTTGCATTTCACTTTGCGGGGAGGAAGGCCAAAGTACTAACCAAGACACCGTGGAGCAGGATGCAGTTCAAGAGGTCGGAGGAACAGAATAGAAATGTTGCAGGTATAGGGGATTCAATAATAGGATAGATATACAACACTCCATAGGTTCCAGATCATCCAGAACTCTGCAGCCCATATCCTCTCCCGCACCAGGCTCCGTGACCCCCATCCTCACCCGACTCCACTGGCTTCCCATCACACAGAGGATACCGTTCAAGGTACTGGCCCTCACCTTCAAAGCCCTCCATGGCCTTGCTCCCCCTACCCCTGAGTCCTCCTAACTCCCTACCAACCTGCCCACTCCCTGCCCGGCTCTGGCCTGCTTCACGATTGGGGGCAGACTTTCAGCCATTCTGTCCCCACCCTCTGAAAATCCATCCTCCACCTCGCCGCCTCCCTTGCTTCCATCAAGACCCATCTCAAGACCTTCCACTTTGACAGTTCTTTCGCTTCCCCCCGTCCTCCACCGTCCCCAATACCGAACCCCAGCTCAGGTCCGAAACACTGACTGTCCAGTGCCTTGGGACGTTCTCCTGACGTGAAAGGCGGGAAAAAAACAAATGTAATTTTGTTGTTGCTGTAGAGGGCTTGCTCTGTAGTCGCAATTGAGTGTCCAAGAGGCTGTGTTGTCTACTGGGTGTCAGAGTAACAGATGTGTGCAAGTGGCTGGAAAGAAACTTGGAAAGGGAGGGGAGAGAACCAGTTGTCATGGTCTGGTCCAAGTCGGAATCAATGACATAAGAAACAACAGCAATTTCCTGCTGAGAGAGTATCAGGAGCTAGGAGTTAAATTAAAAAATAGGACCCAGAGAGTGTTGACCTTCAGATTACTATCTGAGCCACGTGCAAATTGGCATAAGGATAAACACATCAGAAAAGTGAATGTGTGGGAAGGAGCGGCTCCATTTCATGGGTCACTGTCACCAGTATTGGGACAGGAAGGAGCTGATGGGCAGGGCTGCACCTGCACCGGGCTGGGAGCAAAGTCCTTGTGGGAAGGATTAATAGGACTGTAGAAAGGACTTTTAACCAGTAAAGGGAGGGTTCGGGTGGAAATAATAGTAACCTAAAGATAAGAATAAGAAAGGATGGAACACATGTCAGAGAACAAAAAAGTGATAAAGATAATATAAATACTCCAGGAAGAATAAAGGTTATAGGAAGTAATCACAAAAAGTGTATCAAGTGAAAAAGTGTCAGGAAAACACCATCAGGGCAGGGCAGGGACACTTACCCAAATAAGTCTTCTATACACGAATACATGTAGGATAAGAAATAAGAAATGAAACAAGGAAGTTACAAGCACAAAATCAGCTTAAAGAGTATGATGCTGTTGCCATTACAGAGACCTGGCTACAAGCTGGGCAGCACTGGGAGCCAAATATTCCAGGCTACAAAATCTTTTGAAAGACCATGGAAATTTGGAAGGAGGAGTAGCAATATTGATAAAAGGCACAATTACAGCAGATTAAAAGTTATTCATCAAATAATCCCTGCACTTGATTTCTATTTGTACATTGATTGATTTGACTTTTCACAATGAACCATCATTTCCTCCTATTTAAGAAGCAAGAAACACAATGAAGCCGCACATATCTCAAGAAAGCCAAATCACACTGAAAGCTCCCACACATAAACAACGCCTGTAACATTGCCCGACTCCGCCACTACCTCACCCCTCTGAGACTCTTGTTCATGCCTTCATCATCTCCAGGCTCGACTATGCAAACGCCTGCGTGTCGCCCTTCCCAACTCCTCCCTCCATAGACTGCAGATAATCCAGAACTTTTCAGCCTATGTCCTCTCCCGCACCAAACTCCGTGACCCCATCTCCCCCATTCTCGCCCGACTCCATTGGCTCCCTATCCTTCAGAGGATCTAGTTCAAGATCCTGGTCCTCACATACAAACCCCTCCATGGCCTCGCCCCACCCTACCTCTGCGACCTCCTAACTCCTACCAACCTACCCGTTCCCTCCACTCAGCCGGCTCAGGCTGCTCCACATCCCGAGAACCACCCGCTCCACCATAGGCGGGAGAGCCTTCAGCCACTCTTCCCAACCTCTGGAACTCCATCCGCCAGTCACTCCGCCTCGCCCCCTCCTTAGCCTCCTTCAAGTCCCATCTCAAAAGCCTCATCGTCGACCGTGCCATTGGTCACCCCCCTTCCCCTCCCCTCTCCCCTCCCCCCAGACCCCAGCTTGGGTCTGAATGCTGTACACTGTCCAGCACCTTGGGATGTCCTCCCGACGTGAAAGGCACTACACAAATGTAATGTTGTTGTTTTCCAATCCAAGTTCAATTCAGTTAATTTTTTTCCCGTCAAAAATAAGAACTTGCATTTGTTTACCGCCTTCATATTTCTCGGAGCGCTTCAATTTATGGTAACTTTGTATTTTCTGTCATGAATAATGTGAGTAAATCTGCAGTTGGAATCTGGAAAAAATTAAACATTCCCATCCTCAGTGACTCAACGGCTTTAACCACTAAGTGGCCAGTGAGGGCATCCAGCCGTTCGCACAAACCATAATCATTCCCTGCTCTTTTTGTCAGGGGTTGTATCCCTTACTTGCTGTCTCCATTTGCTTGTCTAAAATGTAAATCCAAGTAGATCGTCTCGAAGGGATACTTTTGTTATGTTATAGTATTTAAAATTGCTATTACTAGCTGCAGCAGTAAAAGGATTAAAGGTCTTTCTTTAATCGCAGGTTACTTCCAATGAAAAATAAATATTGTCATATATTTGTTCAATTTTTTTTCACAGACTCCATGCTCTGGTTCTGTTTGTAGGTGAGGGCTCTTATCGACGTTTTCAATGGGGTTATTGATCAGGTTAAGTTGCCTTAAGCTTTAAATCGATCGAACATTTGGCCTCATCCACTTCAACAGAAATAGAGCTTTTTATTGCTCTCTCTTGCACACTGCACATTGATATTTTGTTAAAGTATTTAAGGAATTAAATAAAATAACTGAGGCGTACATTTCAAAACGATTTTCAGCCTGTCATAAACAAATTTATTTGGTGGATTCAGTTTCCAGTTGTGTAACCATCAGTAAAACAACAACAACAACAAAATGACATTTGTTTGGCGTCTTTCACATCAGGAGGACGTCAACAAGACTGAGGCTCTCCTGATTGGCTCCCGTCAGCGCCTCCTCACCTCAGGCGCTGACAGCATCACCATCCACAATTGCACACTTCACCTCACTGAGCCAGTCCGGACCCTTGCGGTCTTGTTTGACCCTCAACTTTCCTTTCTACCCCACACCTGCAACATTGTGCGCATCCGCCACTGTCTCACACCACAGGCCGCCGAAACCCTCTTACACGCCTTCATTGCATCGAGGCTCGACTACGCAAACTCCATGCTTGTCGGCATCCCCAACTCCTCCCTCCACAGGCTGCAGCTCATCCAGAACTAACTCTGCAGCCCGTGTCCTCTCCTGCACCAGGTTCTGTGACCCTATCACCCCATCCTCGCTCAACTCTACTGGCTTCCCATCACACAGAGGATACAGTTCAAGATCCTGGTCCTCACCTTCTTGTTCCCCCCGACCTCTGCCACCTCCTAACCCCCTACCATCCTGCTCGCTCCCTCCGCTCAGCGAGCTCCGGCCTGCTTCACGTCCCCCGCTTCACTCGCCCCTCTATTGGCAGGTGGGTCTTCTGCCACTCTGCCCCCACCCTCTGGAACTCCATCCCACAGTCCCTACGCCTCGCCCCTCCCTCGCCTCCTTCAAGACCCATCTCAAGAACCTCCTCTTCGACAGTGCTTTCGATCTTCCTGCTTCCCCTCCTGCCCGCCACCCTCCCCAACCCCAACACTGTCTGTGCAGCACCGTGGGAGGTCCTCCCAATGTGAAAGGCGCTATACAAACTTTGTTGGTGTTGTTGTTATCTTACTCTGTGATTCGGTGCGGACTAAATATCCAAATGGCCTCCTCCTGTGCTGTAAATTTCTATGTTTCTCTGAATAGGAAATTCACATAAAGACTTTTAGCAATGTATCTTAACTTCATATTTTGGTTGTTTAATGTTAATATTCTTGTAATAAAGTTGCCTCTGACATTCAAATGATTTCATAATTACAGTATTACAATAATCATTATATTAGATACAGTACCTTTCATGTCAAGAAAGACCTCCCTTCCTGTCACTTCGTAGGATTCACTTTAAAGTGTAGGGACTAAATCTTGTTGGTAAACATAGCAGCCAATTTGTGCAGAGCAATATTCCATTAAACAGCCATGAAGTGAATGACCAATTTTATCTGTCGGATTGTTGGCCAGAAAATGGAAGAAAATCGTTTTTTCAAATAGTGCCATGGGGTCTTTAACATCTATCTGAAGAGGCAGCAACGACCTTGGTTTTACATCTCGTTTGAAAGAGGACATCTCTAAGAATGCAGTATTAATCGACTCTGAGCCAGGCTAACCACTGGCACCATTAGTAATAATACTATAAATACAATTGTCTTCAACGTACTTTCCATGCTCTGAACTCCATTCCGGAGTCCCTCCAGCTTGCTCTCTCTCTCCCCTTCTTCAAAGCCCACCTTAAAACCTATTGACTGCACTTTCCCTCCCCTTTCCCTTTGTAGCTTGTCCCCATCCCCAAGTTCGAGCTCCCTGAGTTATGTCCAGCATTTGGCAGGTTATTCCAGATATTAATGTCGATTCTTGTACTTATTGTAAACCACTTTCCACTAAAAGCTCTGATTGCATAATGAAGAACACATCAATCAGGATAGGCTTAGAACTGTGGCTCAATTGTGTAAATATATGCTGTATTTGTCCTCACTGTCATTGCGCTTTCCAGAAATTACTTGTGAACCACTTGAGGTACTTGAATATGATAAGACATTATACAATGGCAAGTTTTTTTCTTTCATACAGCAGCTCATGTGGCCCAACAACAACAAACTTGTACTTATTTGGCACCCTCCATAATAATAATAATCCTTGCATTTGATACAGCGCCTTATCACGTCTTCGAGACGTCTCAAAGCACTTCACAGAATATACTGTAAAGTGAATTGACTGTATATTTGTGGGCAGTCAATTGTGCACAGCAGCGTCCCATAAACAGTCATGGATTGACAGATCAAATTATTATTTAATAAAAAAAATGTTTTTGAAGGAATGATTACCCCCAGAAAAGCGATCTGTCAATTGACTAACAATTGAGTTCCTACTTACTGCTAGGTAAATAGAGGTGTGTGGTGTAAGGAAACTTGTCTAATGTTTTGCCCTGCCTGGGAATCAAATCAGGTCCTCTCACTTATGAAGTGAGTACTCTAACCAATATGATACATGACTCCACTAGTCAATGAATGTTATATGCTGATTAAAAAATAAAAATCAGCATGTGCTGGAATTCTGAAATAAAACATAAAATGATGGAAACACACAACATGTCAATCAGCATCTGAAAACCAATAGGTTATAATTGAGCCCTTTGCCTCCCCTTCTAGAATCCTATTCCTGCTGCATCAATTATCATAATTAACTAAGATATTTCTATATCTCAGACTAAATGTTACTCCTGAGTCATTACATTATTTCAGGCTGTTCATGGGAACATTGTGCTTGTCAAAATTGAATGCCACATTCACCCACAAATATATAGTCATTCCACTTTACTGTATATTTCTGAATATTTTAATACTGCTGTTATTTCAGTTCTAAGAAGTACCGAAGCAACAGGATCGTAACAGCAATACCATGCTTACTTTTGATGTTTTCCATTTGCTTTATTATAATTTAACCATGTACTGGCTCAACAAACAGTCACCATTCAGCCATGAAACACAAATCTTCCTTCGGAGAATCACAGAATATTACAAAACAACATATGCATGAAAAGTAATTACTGCCAGCTCATTTAATTAGTTGAACGCTAGATCAAAAACACACGGTGGGCAATAATAATAATAATAATCATCCCTGCAGTTGATATAGTGCTTTTCACGTCGGGAGGACGTCTCAAAGCGTTTCACAGAATATGCTGTAAAGTGAATTGACTGTACATTTGTGGGCGAACGCGGCAGCCAATTGTGCACAGCAGTGTCCCACAAACAGTCGTGGATTGAAAATGACCAATTTATTATTGTTTTGTTTTTTTGAGGGATTATTATTAGGCGTGTGGAATAAGGAAACTTGCCCAAAGTTTCGCTCTGCCTAGAAGTATTCTCTGCTTTATGATTTTCCTGATTTCAGTACGATTTGGTTGCGTATCTCATATGATTTATTTAAGATTTTTAAAATCTTAAACAATAAATATTAAAGTCATATGCAAAAGAAAATCTTTCACTTGTCCAACAATTATTTTTTCATCAACAGCTTCCCAATCTAGTTGACTCATTATAATGATGCCATGTGGCATGATGCAACCTGGCTCAGAAGGTTGTGGGTTCTACTACTATTGGCACTATACAGATTGACTAATTTGCAAACAAAACACGCACTCACGCACCATCTCAATAACAATGTGGACAAACATGTGGGAAGATTGATACTTAGCTCATATTCCTAACAATCATGTGTTTTAGATCACTGTGTTCTTGGAAATGTGCTAAATTTTCCTCTCTTGAGCCAAGGAAATTTACTATAAATACTGAGCAGTCACCAGAACAGAGGCCAGTAAGCACACAGTACCAGAAAGAAGGAAAACAAATTGCACAAGTGAAGCACAATGAACATCAAAGTCACCGTCAATGTCCTTGCTCTTGTTTTACTTTGTGTAACTTCCACACAAGGTATGAAATTAACTGAATCTTTTGTATTTGTAAAATGATTATGGTGACTAATTACAGATTTATACAGTTAGAGTTAAGAATGGAGAGTGGAGTTAGATTTAAGTAATTATGTAATAATAGTAAGAATTTTTGTTGTAATGTCTTTCATATTGGGAGGATGTCCCAAAGTGCTTCACAGGATAAAGCGCAGAGACTGTGTATTTTATAAACAGCAGCCAATTTAAGCACAATAATGTCTCACAAACAGCCATGAAGTGATTGTGTATTTTAACTTGGAGGATTATTGTCCAAGACACTTGGAGAAACTCCCTTATCTTTTCAAATAGTGACTGTTTGTGGGACACTGCTGTGCGAATATGGCCCACAAATTATGCAGTCAATTCACTTTACATTTTGTTCTGTGAAGCGCTTTGAGATGTCTCGAAGATGTGATATCAAATGCAAGGATTATTATTATTATGGGAACTTTAACTTCTACCTTGATAAACAAATGGGACCAAAGGATGAACCTCTAATAATGCAGCATACCTCGAAGGCTCTATTGACTAATTTGACTAAGTCAGCCTGGACTATGAGTTCAAATCCCGATGTGAAGCTTGTACCCACAAGTTTCTGACTCAGAGCCGAGAATGTTACCAGTTGAGGCGGGCTGACACAAAACAAGAGTTAATGTCAACAATCGTGTTTACTCCTGTTATGCACATTTAACTTTTAGTGAACTTTTTATCAATTAAGATCAGGAATGTTAATGCTGGGAAACATTTGCCAGTCTTACAGCTCCAGTGTCAGCAACAAACATGCACAGATAAGGCACTGCAAAGCTATTCCAGAATTAAAGGCAGTTTTGCACAGTGGACACATACTGGAAGGGTAAGGAATTGATGAATTGATGTCGGGTTGAGAGAGTTTTGGTGAGTGCTGAAAGTGCTCAGATGAGTGTTTTACTTTACTCTGGGAGCCAGCATTAATACAGATGGAAAAATGAGCATAATGTTAATTTTGGAAGCACTTCTTGCTTGATTTTAATTATTTCTACATATATAGGGAGAAGACTAAGACAGGTGGGGGGAAGCAGGATATGGGCTGATCAGATGGCACAGTGTACAGTATTTGTGCATTCATGTATAGTTCTGCGAAGGCAACGATTAAGGTGAAATCTCCCAGGTCCTTGAGTTCCTGATTTCCTGTTGGAGATGGGGAATTAGATTGGATCAGGCAATGAACTGAATTCATATGCAATTTAGCAGTGTGTGTGAGATTAGACAGAAATGCAGGGAGATCAGGTGAAATCCTCCGTTTCATATCTGAGGATGACTGTGTACTGATGAATACAACAGATAATCAATATGGAAAAAACATAAGAACAGATTCATGCTATATCAATAGATGCAAATGTTACAACCATTTTCTTGAAAAAAATGTAATCAATAAAAATAATTGTGATTATGTATGTTTCTCTTAGTGTTGCTGCTTATTCGAATCTTCTCAAAGGGCAGTGGTTATTTTGAACAGTAAATTACAGAACTACTTTTTAAAATTGATTTGGCACTTTATGTAGAATATTGGAGGAGAGAAGTGACTGGCTTGAAACATGAAACAGAGTAAAGTCTTGTCTGACTGGTTGAGTGATACTGGATCAGTGCTTGCAGGACAACTGATCATACCATTGCAATATAATACAATTTTCATTCATATAGTGCCTTTTCACATTGGTAGGAGATCTCAAAGTGTTTCAAATACCAGTGAGATAAATTGACAATTTCAATCCCATGATATTAAAAAAATGTGAAAAACATAAATAGTATTTTACTCTTCAGTCTTAAAAGTAGATGTCTCAGAGAGGATCTTATTGAAATAGACAAGATTTTGAATGAGATTGAGAAGGTAAACTCTAAACAATACTTTCAGTTGTAACAGGACAACAGAACAAGAGGACACAGATTTAGGGTTGCAAAGGGCAATTTCAGGACAGACACCACAAGACATTTCCTTACCCAGAAGGCAACAAACGATGGGAACGTAATCAGAAATGATGGTTGAGACAGGACATTGACTCAATTAAGAAACAACTTGATGCTGGAATCGGAAGATGGTATTCTAGAAGAGATCAAATGGGTCAAAAGCCCTTCTTCATATGAACCTCTCTTGTTAACTTCTGCAACAAGTATTTAGTGTTTAGAGATAATTATCTTGTGAATGAAAGAGGAGTTCCGGCAGGGGAGTTCCGTTCAATCAATGGATAATTATCCTTTAAATCATAACCAAATAACTAGAGTGTATGGAAGGTGAGAGTCAAATTAGTTGTGATAGTAGAAATCTTCCACAATTTGTTGAGATAAGACAGATTTTCTGTGTTGTTGTCGGGTTGAGAGAGTTTTGGTGAGTGCTGAGTCCCAGCTCTAAACTCCAGTAAATTTAATATTGTGAACCAATATAACTTGGTTCTGTAGCTCAGTGGTTAGAGCACTCGCCTCGCAAGCAAGAGACCTGGGTTTGATTCCCGCCAGGGCGAAACCTTGGGCCAGTTTCCTTACTGCACATGCCTGATAATAATCCCTCAAGAAAAAAACAGTAATAATTTGGTCACTCAATCCACAACTGTTTGTGGGACGCTGCTGTGCGCAATTGGCTGCCGCGTTTCGCCCACAAATATACAGTTAATTCACTTTACAGTCAATTCTGTGAAGCGCTTTGAGACGTCGAGAAGACGTGAAAAGCGCTATATCGAATGCTAGGATTATTATTATTATGACTTCAGCCACCAAGAAAAGAAACAAATATCTTATGGTTATTGTAAAATGGAAATAAGAATTATAAATATGTCTTGCAAAAAAAATTCCTTTAAAAGTAAGATCTGTAACCTTTTCATTATACAGCTTTTCCCATGATGTACCTACGCTGTAAGTGCATCAATATCCGTTCTGGATTCGTCAAACCATTGAGATTATTCTAAGTAGTCCCGAATGTGCAAGTAAACAAATCATGTAAGTGTTAACAGTATCCATTATTGACTTAACTTGCTATTTGTGTGTGTATATTATTTAATTGCTAAGAAAGACTGAAAATTCAAAGTAACTCAATTGTTCTTCATTGATTCCAGTCTTACCCTTCAAAATCAGCGGGTCTGCGTCAAACCTGAGGAATGGTCGGTGAAGATTTTGTTCCAAAAATTTAAGCCTGGGTAAGTTTCCATTTCCATGCATTTGGAAAGAATGAACCTTCAGACTAACAAAAGGCTATAGCTGCACAGGACAAATATCACCATGCACAACAATTAGCAAACCATTATGTCGAACATTGTATTTGGATTTCTTTTCTCAATATATTTCAAAATCTATTTGTGACCAAAACTATTGCACTACCTTGTACTTTAATCCTCTCCTAAATTAAAAGAGCTTTCCTCATATTGTCTACTACTGTTTCCGAACAACTAAGAATATTGAGGTGTAAAAGAACACTTGGATGCAACTGTTGGATTAGAACAAACTCATATTTATGTTACTGTTTTGAAGGAATTAGACAGAAAATGTATTGTCAATTCTGAAGACCTATAACTTTCTAAATTAATGTTTTCTTTTTCCACAGTTTGACCAAGATTAAACATCCCAGAAAAAAAGCATAATGTAATTTGAGGATTATTATTACAACAATACCTCATTGGTAGGGTAAATCTAACAACACTATGAACTCACACTTGCCTTAGTCCTGGTCAGGAGTTTCAGTTGACCAAGTATCACATAATGGCCTTTACGTTTATCCATTGTTGTATTTGTTCACTTAATAATATAACTAACTGCAAGATTGAAACTGGATATTTCTCCTTTTGAATTTGAGAATCTTCTCAATGCTAATTTGACAATGGATAACATTATAACATACCAATAGTCTGGGCCAATAGAAAAATGCAAGAATATTTGCCAAAATTGCAGGGAAACTTTTGCAGGCAAATTTTGTGGGAATATTTCACAATTTTTGCAGGAAATTGCGTTGATTGGTGCTATTGAGGTACATTTTACTACCAACCTACATTTTTTCACTTTATTGATAACAACAACAACAAGATTACATTTGTATAGCGCTTTTCACGTCAAAAACTAAACATGAGGATAAACATATATTGCAAAAAGGTATATATTTGCTAATTTCTTCTTTAACAAAAACTTAGTGGCCCATGGGGAGTGTGGGGTGGGTGGGACAGGGACACCAACACCAGCACGGACCCAAAGGGCCTGGTGATCTGCCAGGACCAGTGAACTGATTACAGGGCCAAAGGAGCTCATCACCTCCTGCCTCTCAGGACCTAGCACCCCACTAACACAGAAACAGAGAGAGACACACACACACACAGACACATACACACTCAGACACGCGCACACTCAGAAACACAAAGAAAGATGACCAAAAGCACGGTCAAAGAGGTACATTTTGAAAATTGAAAGAGGGAAGGGGAGCGAGAAAGTTGCAATGGGGGTCAGGTTGGGCGTTGGGACTTGAAGCAAAGGGAGCAACTAGGTCGATAGGGGTGAAGGAAGCCTCTAAGGTATGGATGGGGCAAGACTATGGAGGGATTTAAAGGTGAGACACAGTTTATTTTGCTAAGTCACAAATATCCAATAAAATGATATTACTTTAGCACACTGACGGAATGTCTCAAAGCCTTTCACAGCCTTTTTTACTGTAGAGTGTATAAACATTTATTTTGCTGCTGAACTATTTGGACTGTTCCAACATTTTACATCTAGTCAAAGAACATTCTGATCATAGGCCGGTTCCAAACTGAATGAAATCATAGAATCATATCATAGAATCATAGAATCGTACAGAACAGGCCCATCGCGTCTGCGCTGGCTCCTAAAAGAGCAATCTAACTCAATCCTACTGGCCCGCTTCACCCAACAGCTCGCTGGGTGAAATATTTTTTCCTAACCTCCCCTCTGTCTCTTTTAACAATGATCTTAAATCGGTGTCCTCGGGTTACTGACCCACATGCCAGTGGAAACAGTTTTTCCCGGTTCAACGTATCAAATCCTCTCATGATCTTGAAAACTTCTATTAAATCCCCTCTTAATCTTCTTTTCGCTAGGGAGAATAATCCTAGTTTCACTAACCTCTCCTCATAACTAAGGTCCTTCATTCCTGGTACCATCCTGGTAAACCTCCTTTGTATCCTCTCCAATGCCCCAACATCTTTCCTAAAGTGCGGTGCCCAGAACTGAACGCAGTCTCCAACTGAGGCCTAACCAGCATTTTATAAATATTCAGCATTACCTCCTGACATGTACTCTATGCCCTATTTATAAAGCCTAGTATCCTGGATGCTTTTTTAACAGCTTTATCTACCTGTCCTGCCACCTTCAGAGATTTGCTGATGTGGACCCCCAGGTCTCTCTGTTCATTTCCCCTCTTTAAGATTGTACCATCAGCTTATATTGTCTCTCCTCATTCTTCCTACCAAAATGCCACACTTCGCATTTCTCCACATTAAACCTCATCTGCCAAGTTTCTGCCCATTTTACCATTCTGTCTAAGTCCTCTTGGAGCCTGGTGCTATTCTCCTCACCATTAACTACTTTTCTTAGCTTAGTATCGTCTGCAAATTTGGAAATTGTGCTCTGTATACCTAAATAATGCAACTTTCCTGTAATGCAAATGCTACTCCACCTCCTGGCTGAAAACTTAATAGCTTTTTGTAAATGACTTGAATTAAGAAGTTTCTGGATATCTAAACTAGTGAGACAAGATGACTCAGCTAAGAGACATGGGTGATTGCATGTATCAGTTGTGACTCCACAACAATTTATTTAATTTAGACCCCTGTCATTCTAACACCATGGGTAGTTTAGAAATCAGAGACAGTCACATTATGTGGCAGCTGAGCAATAATAACAATTTACACTTGTATGGCAGCTTTTATGTAGGGTGAAAGACTCAACGACTGAAAGGGAGCTTAACCTCGAAGGATTAACTCAGGACTCAGTTTTACCCGCATTTCAGAGTTTCCATTGATCTTCGTATTTTTGGCAAGCTACAGGCTAGAGAAGCACATGTCATCCTATAATTGGTAGCACTCTCACCTCTGAGTCACAATGTTGTGGATTCGTGCCCCACATCAGGACTTACAATACCTCATATACTCTGAGATGACACTCTAATGCAGTCCTGGGGATGCGCTGCATTGTTGGAGATGCTTTCCTTTGGATGAGACATTAAACTGACACCCTATCTGCCTGCTCAGGTGGGCCTTAAAAATCTTATGGCACTATTTGAAAACAAAAACTTAGTTGCTCCTCTCCGTCCCAAATTCAGATTGATGACTCCCAGGGTGCCAGCTTCCCCTGTACTTGTGTACAGAGTGTCGGCACTACTAGCGATACAAAGTGCTGGTGACCACAAGGAGTGCTGGCACAGTGTGCCCCATACACTGTGCAGCCGGTACTCTGTGCTGCTGACATGTACAGGGCAGAGTGATGGCACCCCTCCCTGTGCCAGAAGTACGGTCTCACCAAAGATTTATGCAGTGGCAGGGTTGCCTCACTATTTTGGCTTGCTATTCATCTTTTGATACAGCCCAACATCTGATTTGTTTTGCTCGCTGCCACAGAGCATTGTTGCATCTTATTCTAGATCCCTGACCACGTCTGGTTTAGATTTTCGATCCCATTTTAAATTTTATAGAACTTTGTAAAGTCCCTCTGAGATGCCTCAACTTGAACTCTAACTTGGGACATCCTCCCGACGTGAAAGGCGCTATGCAAATGTAATTTTGTTGTTATTGTTGTTGCACGATAACATTTTTTCTCCCCAGTTTTGTTTCAACCCACCCCCCCTTTTGTTTTACGCCACTATCACCTCTTTAACCCATCAACTAATGCATTCTCTCCTTTGTCTTTTTTTTGTCTTCTTTGTCGTCCTTGTCCTACATCCTCCCCTCAACTTGTCCTTAAAAACCTCTCCCTCCCAACATGCGCCAGTTCTGACGAAGGACCCAAAACGTTGACTCACTTTCCTTTCTCCATAGATGCTGCCTGACCTACTGAATTTTCCGAGCTCTCTCTGTTTTTGTTTCAGATTCCCAGCATCTGCAGTATTTTGTGTTCTGTTCAAATAAAAATTTAGTTCAGCCCCTGACAAACTAACATTCTTAAACTTATTACATTATGACAGCTCAGTAGATTGGAAACTGGATTTGGATGCAGAAGCATCTGTGTTTGAATCCCTGTGGATCTTGTCAGCCTTTCCTCCCTTTTTAATGGTGCTTAAAGAGAATGAAAAAAAATCCTTTCAAGTGAGAGGAAAGAGTGTCAGCTTTGGCATAAATTTTCAGCCCAAACAAGAGATAAGAAATAGGATGCCTTCTTAAAACCCCAGTGTCCTGTAAAAGTGGTTCTGGGATAATAAAAATAATAATAATAACAATAATCCTTGCATTTAATATAGTGCCTTATCACGTCTTCGAGATGTCTCAAAGCACTTCACGGAATATACTGTAAAGTGAATTGACTGTATATTTTGTAGGCAAAACGCTGCAGCCAATTGGGCACAGCAATGTCCCACAAACAGTCATAGATTGAGTGACAATTTATTTTATTAATCAAAACAATTTCTGAAGGGATTATTACTTCCAGAAAAGTGATCTGCCAATCGACTGACAACTGGGTTATTGCTTACTGCTAGGTAAACAGAGGCAATGCAAGAAAATGCTGCACTTCCTCAAGTCCAAAATCGAGAGGATCTACTCAACTGCCACAGCCCTCCCAACTTCCACCCCCTCCCTACGCCCCAACCACATTCTGATAACTATCCATCGTTCCTTCCACACCTTTGAACCTGTCAACCCCTCCTTTGTCTTCACCACCATATCCTCCATGAAGCCCACCAGCTGCTCCCTGGACCCCATCCCCACGTCTCTCCTTAAATCCCAGCTCCTACTCCTCGCCGCCGACATCATCAATCTCTCCCTGTCAACTGGCACTGTTCCTACATCCCTCAAAACAGTCACTATCATCCCACCTTGAAGAAAACTTTGCTTGACCATCACAGCTATCCAGCTACCGGTCCATCTCCAACCTCCCTTTTCTGTCCAAGGTCCTTGAGAGAGCCATTGCCTCCTAGCTTTGCTCTTTCCTCTCCTCCCACTCCCTCTATGAACCCCTCCAATTGGGTTTCCATGCTGCCCACAGCACGGAAATTGCTCTGGTCAAGGTCAAGCTTCCTCTGCCTCCTCGTCCTCCTTGACCTCTCTGCCACCTTTGACACCATGGACCATTCAATCCTCCTCCACCGCCTCTCCTCCCACCTCAACCTTCAAGGTTCTGTCCTTGACTGGTTTAGGTCCTACCTTTCACACCGCCTCCATTTCGTCACGGCAAACGGCTTCTCCTCCAGCCACCACACCGTCTTGTGCGGTGTACCTCAGGGCTCTGTCCTCGGGCCCCTTCTCTTCACCCTCTACATGCTCCCTCTTGGTAACATCATCCACAGACATGGGGTAAATTTCCACATGTATGCAGATGACACTCAACTCCAGGACTACTGGTGTCCTGACCGACTGCCTGTCCAACATCAAGTCCTGGACGAGGGACAACTTTCTCCAAATGAACGTCAGCA